GAAAGCCACACACACACAGCCTGACCAGCCATCGGGACGCAGAGCTCGTTTCCTGGCTCAGAAGGCCTTCTGAGGACACAAATCTCCCCAGCACATTTGGAGTTGTTTTGAAGCGAGGACAGATTTTGAAACGCACGCACCTACACTGGGATCAAAGCTAGTTCAGTGTAAACGAGAAAAAAGCCAGTAGGTTTACCTTCTGCATGGCTGATCCTGATCAAAACACATCTGCCTGCAGTATGCACCAGATGGGGCAACAATTGTCTCGTGTTTCTTCCTGTGCTTCCCTAATCCCCCGTGTCCTCTGGAAGCGTGTGGATCTGTACCTGCAGCTCGAGCTGGATGACCAGAGAAAGGCATTTTGCTTTATGTACATATAATTATGGAGATGTTCTTCTTGTGGTTGCAATTACATCCAAAAAGACTGCACAGGTAGCAGCTGGAAATATAATGAAGACTCACCTGATACCAGCTGAACTGGATTTTCTTTCACATCAAACAGCAGCTTATATCTGAAGTTCTTATAGATTCTGAAACTGTGATTTTTAAGAATATTTCTTCCACTCCTGGTAAATAAGCAGAAATCTGTGGAGCAATCAAAGCAGAGATGACCCTAAAATAAAAGGAAAAATAGTACCTGTTAGAACAGGGAATGAGGACTAAATCCCTCAAAAATAAAAAAGGAAAATGCATTTATCTGATCATTTTCATGTATAGGTACTGAAAGCCTTGCTTTTTCATGGCATATGAACAGGCATCAACAGATCTTGTTTAAGCACTAGATGCACAAAGGGGGGTATTTTCCACAACCAGAGGTACAAAATTGCCCTGAAACATCACCATGGCTGAGGGAAACTGCTGGCTGGAACCCTGATCCTCCTGTTTCTATAGGGAAAAGGCACAAGTGCATTTTAACTTAGAAGATAATCATGACTGTATGTGCAGAAATGGTATCTTTCAAACACTGAAGAAACAAACAGTGAGGATTGCTGATAAACTTGGTTTCTGGAAATCCATTAGACTTAATGTGGCACTTCCACGGTTGGGAGTACACAGCTTTATCTTATCACACTGGCCAGGCAGGCTGATGACTATTTCTAGCTCTTGACCTTTTATTTTAATATTTCTAAATCCATCCAAAGTGCTGTAATGCATGAGAAAGGTTTTTACACCAGCAGCCTGTTTTGTGATGTCTCTCTCCAAGTTTTGCAGAGCAGGCAGCCTGTGAGAGGATGAAGGACAGGGTCAAAGAAGACCTGCATTTTGGTCGGGAGGTGATGAGATCCTTCCAGGCCTGTGCATGGGTTGGGAAGTGGGGCGTGTCCATGTATGTTGCTGCAGAGGCCTTGCTCCAAAGGCCAGAGCAAACCAAGCCATTTTTCCTAAATGTCAAAACCCTGACGGAAAAGTCCATTATGAACATGTGAGGAGTGTGTGGCTGCTGGAACCACTATTGTGCCAGTGAATTGAATGAACAATAGTGTTGAATAAAAGAAAAACAATAGCAGGAAAAATTGCCTCGTCACCCTGCATACATTAGGAACTAAATCACACTCAGGACACATGCACGAATCTGGCATCTGGCAGCACTAAGCTGCCTTCAGCTGGAGTCCCCTTATCTTCCTGCCAGTCTCTGCTGCATCCTGGATGCACTGACAATAAGTTAATGGTGGCACCTTCCCCACTGCTATATCATCCACATACAGAATTAAATTGAAGAAGTGGGGAGAAATGTGGCCAAAACCCGGCATTTGCCAGGGGAGCAGTCTGGAAAAATGTGTGGCTTGCAGACTGTAATTAGCGCATGTCGCAGTTGAGGCATGGAAACAGCTCCAGCTCTCAAAGGGGCAGACCATGGAAATAAAATTTCCATCTGAATAGAGCCCAGTGGGTTCTAAAATCAAAACATGTGAGTTCGGGTTTGCTTCTGCTATTTAGGAAAGCTACATTTGCAAGAGTATGTTCAACTGAGATTAGGAGGCAAGAAAGAACCTTTGCATTTTGTTTCACTTTTTCATTCTGAGGGATGAGAGCAAAATAGACCAATCAATAACAATAATTATAATTTTCTTCTTATTGATTGTTCAGAAGTCCTTAAAGGCATCATCATTAACTTAAAGATAACTTGAGGAAATTTATGAGGTTTTTCACTCTCTTCTGACACAGCACTTGTGATTTCTATGTTCAGATGCTCAGCAGCCCCAGATCCAAAGCCAAGCCAGAATTAGTGAGGATGAGACTGGTAAAATGCAATAGAGGAACTGACAGAATTTGGCTTTATTGCTTTTTCTAACTGGCATATTCAATGGATGAGGCTATATGTCTCAAAGCAGGGGAGCTACAGACTTCACCTGTCCTGTCCAGCTGCCTGTTGCTTTTTATCCATGTGCTCATGTGTCATCCCTCTTGTGCCCACCACATTATTCATGAGTGATTTCCACACTGATGAGAGGTGCCAGGTAGCAATTCCTGGAGACAAAGCATTTTAAAGGATACCACTTCTGCTAGAAACTTCTTGGCTCACCCAGGTCAACTGGCCAGGCATGACAAAATGCTCAGTTCCTTCTTCCTCTCTATTTATGGAACAGTGAAGAAAGCATTTTTCAGCACAGTGCTCCACAATAAATGGCTCAGAAGTTCACTTCTGTGACAACTGCTCACGTTTCTTGCAGGGTCCTCTTGCTGTCACCTACTTTGTCAGACCCTCTTGACCCCTCTCATGGCCCCTTGCAAAACACAGGGCTGCCTCTGCGTCCTCCTGCGCAAGCTGTACGTGGTGCATTGTCCTGCAAACACTCAAGGGAAACACAGGCCAGAAGAGAAGATCCACATAATCAATTCCTCCTTTCAAAACCACAAGTTAAAAATAGAAATGCAAGCCAAGATAAGAGATACTAGAATGAATAAATAATTGTTTTCTCTGGAAGTGAATGTTGGCCCTCAGTTTGTCAATAGTAAATTGCTTAACTTCATAGACCAGGATGATAAGTGACCTTGTTCCCAGGCAAATGAAACTTGGATACAGCACAAAAACAACATCTTGAGATTGTAGGAGGATTTTTTTCAGCTGCATTTTCTCTCAGGGCCCTGTGTTACTTCCTTGAAGGAAAAAAATAAATAAATTATGTGTATATATATATGCCTAAGAATTAAGCAATAAACTCACTAATCGTGCCTGATGGGAGCAATCTGAAGTAAGAGCTGCAGTTAAATATACTGTAAGTAGAAAATACCAAGGGTGTCATCTAGAGCATCCATGGGGCTGAGGGAAGCAGGAAAGGAATCTCTTCCCACATCACTGCCTTTGTCACTGGCGGTTGGACCACACTCAGACACTTCAGGAGGATGTATTGCAGGGTATGATTTGTTTCCAAAACAGCAAATCCCTAGAGCTGAACAATCCAAAGCCTGCCTTGAAAGAAGAGTGCTTATTCTATGAGACATATGTGTGAAAGAATCTTTAATTGTATGCTGAGTTGCCTGGGTTACAGGAAGACACTTCATTTTCAAAACAGTGTGATATCTAAGGGGAAGCATTAAGACCCAGACTCCTAGAAAACCATGTTCCTTCTTGGCCTGATTTTCCTTCTTCTTAATTCTGTCTCTTATTCAGTATAAAGAATATGTATGAAAAATGTCTTATTCTTTCAGAGGGTTCTCAGCCTATTGTGGGGTAAAATTTTCTATAATTACATTCGTTTTACACAATGATTCATTTAGCTCTATCAATTTCATCCTATGAAGGCATTATAACTTGATCCAAACCTGGCCATTATGAGGATGCAGTGTGCATACAATGTGCTTCCTTATCATTTCTCTTCAGTAGGAGATTCTTCTGCTTCTGAATGAACTGAAAATAGTTTTATTTTCAGCTATCAAGGTTTTTATAAGATTATGATGTTTTACCTACCAGAGGAGCATGCAGGGTTCAAGCATTTTTATGTTGTGATCACATTCACATTCAAAACAAATTTCTGCCTCTGAATATTCTTAGGAACAAATTTTTTTACAGCATTTTAATTTCATTAAAAGTCAAAAGTCAAAAAGTTCACCAAAATATTGGTGAAATAAGGCACCAGCTTTTGTCTGTAATTAACTGACAGATGTTTGATACCTACTAATGCCTTATCTCTTCATAGATTACTGTTCATCTGGAACTTGCATCTATCAGAATAAATTTTTAAATGCTGGCAGATCAGAGTCTTCTATTGTTATTTTGAACACATCCACTAAGAGCTTGGAAAGAATTTCCCTTTCCCAACATCTGCTTACCCTTTGTGCCCAAACTCTCTTTCAGCATATGGTAAATTATGATACAGGGAAGTGGATGACACACTAAAAGCTCCAGAAGGTTTCACCTGAGCTTTGCTATGTCAGTAAAATGCAGCCACTGGGCAAGGAAGAGGCTGGTGATGGAAAAGTTTCCTTCTGTTTCTAAAACACAAAGAGGAGAAAGCAAACACATCCTTGGTCTGCAACTGATTTGGAGTTATGGCGTAACAGCCAAGGCATTTCAGGTGATTGTTCCAAATGAAAATCCTTTATGCATTTTCTGTGTAGAGAAATTCAAACACTGTGGAAAACATTGTGTTCCACTGTGGCTTTTAAAGTTGTCCTGGTTTGAGCCAGGATGAAGCCAATTTTCTTTTTAGTGATTTATTTTCCTTCAGTGAACTCTCTTTTAAGCAGCACACTGAAGTTGTCCTTTGTTTAATTGCTGATCCTGAGCTGAACTGTGACAAAAGTAAGAAACAAAGAGTGCAAACCTGAAAATCTGCCCGGAAGGGATTTCATAAATTCACCTTATATCATACCCATGTTGGAAATAGGAGTATTTCCTGGTGTAATTTGAAAAAAACCTAAATAATAAGAAAAAAATCTACACACATTCATATACACATATGTATACTTACATATACCTACATGTGCCTATTTTCAAAAGCTCAGTAGCTCCTCTGCCTCCTCTCTCTGCCTGTGAGGTTCCCCAGCCCTGGGGCTCGATGCAGTTTGTGGAGAAGTTCCAGCCAGGCTCCCGGGATGATGGTGAGAAAGAAATCTCCACCTGGGATTCTCTCTTTCCTGGTCACAGAACAATGACAGCACTTCACCAAATGGTGCTGTTGGTTAGTATTGTCTGGATCAGTCACTGTGTTTTCATTCACCCTTCTCATAAAAATTATTTTGTGATCCACCAGATATTTTCCAGAGCTTTGGAATGCCCTTTAAATATATTGTGTGATGGGCACTTCTTTGCCCAGAACAAACATGCACCTCAGGCTTGTGGACTATATTTCTTCCTGGGTCTTCTAGCCACCATCACCTATTGATATTACATGATTTGCAGCCTTTATTCAAAGCAAACAAACAAAATCTCCCAGCTTCTTAGACCTTCCTCCACATAAGCCACTGATATTTACTGGGAGAAAGAGTGACAGGTAGAGCTCTGTGACACCAGTGCTCACCTGCCTTTAGGAAAAAAAAGCAAAGGTTTAGCAAATTATTTCAAGTTTTCAGCCCTCCACTCCAATTGTCCTGGCTTCTTTGCCTGAAGCATCTGATGCTTCCTCTCATAAGCACCAGCCAGGATGGACAGACCCTTTGGGTGGTCCCCGCAGCAGCACCTTTCCCACACAACCCACCACCCAAGCAGGGCACAGGTGGCTCAGCTGCTTGCAGACTACCCAATTACCAACCTGCTTGGAACAAGCTCCAGTCAGCAGATGTTTAAGCTGTCCAATGTGTCATCTTGTGCTGGGGGCACCCCAGAGTAATGTCCTAAAAACACCTTTCTAACTCTTGTTTGGCTGGTTCCTGGTGTGATGCTGGAGCCTCTGTCCTCCCCAGTACAATACTGATTAACCCACAAGGAACAGGCTTCTGGGCTGCTGCCCCAGGATCTACTGACATGCACATCTTCCTCCAGCTGTGGTCACGTTGATGTTTCCTTTAGCTGAAAGCCAAACCCCAGTTCCACAAGTGTACTTCTGCATGAAACACCAGTTCAGTTATTCACTTTCTTCTCATTTTTCGTTGGATATTTCTGGATGCTTCTGCCTTCTGCAGAAGGTTGTCTGCTTCCCAGCAAGCCCACAGGCTGCTCTTCATTTTGTTTGCACGTAACAACATTGGGTGAATCTTGACTTCCAGGCATTAAAGCAACTTTCCTTATGGCTTCAATGGAGACAGATTTTCCCCACAGTTTTTCAAATTCTGTTTTCACTGAGCAGCTGCAACAGATATGGTTATTGTTCTTCGTGTCAAAAAGGAGCTACCCAGTGTCTCTTTGCTTCAAGCTGTTTCTGCAAAATTGTTGTTTTTTTAAAAAAAAACAAACATTCTCTAAGTCTAGTGAAGCAACAGCTCCTTGCTCATGTTGAAGAAGTTCAAGAAGCTCTTTGCAGGAGACCAAAGCACCAGCTACAGCGTAACATTTAATTCCAACACACTCTGGAGCAAGAGCAACAAAGCCTCAAAGTTTAATTTCTTCCTGAAGGAAACCTGAATGGTTATAATGATGATGAAGACTCAGCTCCCTGAAAAGCCAACCTTTTTTCATTAGCTGTTTTAATGCAATTATAGGAACAGAGGTGGATTATTACATTTAAAGTGTTTTAATAGGAACAGAGGTGGATTATTACATTTAAAGCATAGGTTTTTCCTATGTAAGGAAATACATATTTCCTTTTAAAAGCAAGTTAGCCTGCACAGCACAGAGTACCAGTGACTCAGTGTACTAAGACACAGATGTGGGCTTGTATTGTTCCTCACAAGAGTGACAGTTGTGATACTGAGCACTTTACCACTGCACACATATTTGGTATCTGCATCTCACTTTGCCATGAATTAAAAAGGAAGAGAAAGGCTTCATTGGATTAAAGTGTAGCTGCAGAAAGCAGAGGCAGGCATCCTTCAGGTGAACAACCAACAGGACTCAACTGTGTCTTCTTGGGTTTCTTTTCAATAACATTTTCATCATGTAGTCTGATTACAGTGATGCCTTTGTTTCTTTCTGCAGGAAAGGCAGTGGTTATTAAGTTGCACCATGGCCTGCAGTTTCCCTGTTCATGTTTACACTGATTCTGTCATAAGACCATAACAAATACCATTTTACAAGGAAAACTCAGTAACTGAGGGATGGTTTTGCTGATGGCTTGTTGCAGAACCTTACTGTTCCCTCCTGCTTGGAGCCACCATCACCATTGACTGGTGTGGTTCAGTCTGGTTGGCATCAGGGTGAGAGCACAGCCCATCAGTCTGGCCCCAGGGGAGGTGACAGCAGCTCCGTTTGCCTTGCTGCCTCCTGGCTGACAGTCTGCAAGCATAACTAGACCCAGTCACAGGTATATAAACATATTTTGACATTCCACACAGAATATAATAAACCTTTAGAGGTGGCAGCTCCTTGAGACAGGGCTTCAGAGACCTGGTCTTCAGGGAGGGAACACATGGCTTTTTGTCCCAAACACTGTTCAATTTCACAGATGAACACCCCTCTCCTTACTGACCTTGCATGTCTCCCCACCTGCTCCTCCAGGTCTCTCCCTGCCTTTTGCAAGTTCCATCCACAGTGTTTAGCTCCTCTAATGTTAATATGCAAAACAGCATTTTCTAAACTACTGCAAATAAAACTATGGGAAGGATGAAAAAGAAAAAGCTGTGTCTTGGTGTCTGATTTATTTGCATTGTTTAGACAGAGCAGTTAATCATTGCTAAGACCACAACATGTTGTGTGAATTTGAATTATAACTAAGACATATAAAGCAGAAGGTTATTAATTACATTTTAAAGGGGTATTTGGTATTATTATTATTACTATTATTATTATTACTACTACTACTTAGGAAGTGAATGCAATTAATTACATTACAATGCTCTTGCAGGATTCCTCTGGTAATACTGTGCAAAAAAGCTGTTAATTTTAGACTCTTTTGTTCACAAAGGAGGCATTTAGAGCCAGCAAAAGGCACCAGGAGACAAAGTCCTCTTCCCATTAACACTCCTGAAGAACTGGGTGATATTGAAAGGGTCAGCAAGGCACTGCATTTTTTAAAGGTTTTTAGATATAGGATAAACTCTTCATTTGCTTGCAGTAGTTGGTCCCCTGAAATGTCACTTATTCCCTTGGACTGGGAATTGGCAAAGTCAAGTCTCCATGTGGTTCCCACTGCTGGGCCCAAATCCCCAGAAAGGACATCTGAGGAGGGAATTGGATCCCAGACTTAATTAGAGGTGCAGCATTTCCAAGAGTTTCCTCTGTAAAATGGTTCTTACTTGTAAAAAAGGAAAGTTTAGGGCACTTTTTTTTCTTCTTCTTCTTTTAAAAAGGCAATTGTATTAATTCACCTGATTTTGCATTGGAATTGCACTATTGCTTTGACAGTTTAGTTCCCTGAAAATTGCAATAAAGGCTCCATGATGCTACATTTTGTCCCCATTTGTCTTGTACACCATTGCCTTGCCTTTGGCACAATAAAAATAATCTTTAAAAATAGGACCATAAAAGGATTAACTTTGACCTTCTGAGTATCTTGTCAATAAAATAAAAATGATAAACCTGTTTCAGAGTGCTGCTGGCCTAATATTAAAGCAGAGTTATAATCTGAAAAGTGACATTTGAGAAATGATATTATGGGGAGGGGTCTCATTCCCTGTCAATGGTGTCACATAAATATGCTCTATTTAGGGTGCAAAGAGGTGGCTTTGCTTGTTCCCCAAACCATGTTGTGCAATTCCTGCCATGTGCTCCCTGCCTCTTACATCATCATTAGCAATTAAAGATTAGTGCAGCAAGAAATTAGCTGAGCCTCCTGTTGCTGATGCATAAAGGAGAGCTGCTCCACCTGTGACCCACTCTGCAGTGCTAACACAGCAAAAATGGACTTTGCCTCATAGGAAATGGCCAAGATAACCAAGAAAAGACTCTTTTTTTTTTTTTTTTTCCTACATGAGCAGCTTTTTGGAAATGAACAACTTTTAAGAGAATCACTACAAGGCTTTTTATTCCATTAGGTGATAAGAAACTACTGAATTTTCTGTAAAAAACACAAACCAAAACACAAACCAGAGCTGCATGGAAAGAAACAGGGCAGGCCTGTGAACAAACATATATTGAGGAGCAGCAATTTTGATTCAAAGTTTGTGATGCATGCACAGGAGCTCTGCTGTGTTTGGCTTTATGGGTACATGCCTCAGGCAAGTCTGACCTGTGGCTTGAATATTTGCAAGCTTAGAGCTCAGTCCTAAAAACCCATGGTGCTGTTGTGTTTTTCACCATTTCTCTCTTTTTAGCATTTCTTCTTCAAAATATGTATTTAAAAGTATGTGAAGTGCACTTTATACTTGTGCATCAGTTTCTAGTGTGATTAAAAGGGCTCATGCATATAGTAAACTAAAATAAAAATGATGCATTTTCAAAGATCACAGGGTTTGGAACCTCAAAACGTTACTTGATTTCTGAGGAGAAGCAATTCTGATGTTAATCCCTGAAACTAGACTGAGATCAGATTCAAAGGATTAAGGCTTCTGGTTCTGGTATGATGAACATCTCTATTACTAAGATCTTTGTGTCACCAAGCTTCCAATTTGACCTATTTAATTCCAAATTTGTTCTTTTCCCAGTGTTTCCCTCGCAAACCAGCCCAACCCTTCATTGAATCTGAACATAACAAGAGGTGCCCCTTCCTTCAAGTGATTAGTAACTGTATCTAACTGAATTAACTTAAATTAACTTATTTAATCATCCTTTCTCACCCTTTCCAGCTCCCGAGTGCTCCCCGCAGGGCCACCGCGTCCTCCGCAATCCCAACCGCAGCACCAGGTTTGACTCGCTGGAGCTGCAGCGAACGGCCACCCAGGACCTGGTTTGTGACCACTCCCTGCCACCAGCATGGTACCGCTTCATGATCCACAACAAGCCTGCAGAAATGCCCACCAGATGTGTTGAAGTCAGTACAATTTAAGCACTACACCCTGGTGAACTTGAATAAGTCCTTTGACGTAGTTTTCCTTCCCACCTCTCCACCTCTCATCACCTGCAGGCTGCCATGGGGAGTGGGAAGGAGATATTTTTTCAAGCATTTCTGTTGCGTGGATTCTGGAACCTGACCCTTTCCCCACATCACTTATTGTCATTTAGGAATATGTCCTTAGCATGAATAAAAAAACCAAACCACAACACCAAACTCAAACCAAGAATTAATACGATTAATAGTGATACAGAAGGAAAAGTTAAATTTTCCACTATTACAATTTTTTGTATTATTTAGCTTCATAAGTATGCTAACTGCTTCCTTGACAAAAAAACCTCCATCACATAAGACTACTGCTTTGTTTTTTTAAAAAAAGACAAAGCAATAATTACCTGGTTGCCTGTTTAATAACAGTAACTTTTAACTTGTAATCATTGCTGTCGGAGAAACTGGAGACCCAAACTAAAGTTGTTGCCATCTCAAATAGCCCAGGATAATAACCTGCAGGAGGTCAGAATAATTTCAAACACATTGTTCAACAAAATTATTCAGAAAACAAGATACTAATTACCACAGGTTATGTTAAAGATTAAATATTCAAGATAGAGTGCCAGAAGTTTAATATTAGGTGATGCTACCCTAGCTTGAGCACCTTCTTGATATTAGCAAACATCTCATATCCACTCAAAATGAACCTGTGAAGTTGTCAAAATAGAAGTATATCTTAATGATCTAATGTTAAATGAAAGGTTAAGAGATAATTGTTACTTCTGTGGGATTTCTAATTCTCTGCATAAACAAACAATAAATCTCATTACTGTGAACAAATTGGCATGATTATTATTGAAATACACATTTCAAGGCAGGTTAGCCTTGAATATCCCAATGCAATATGAATTTAGTTTTTTTAAGTTGATCTGCAAGTGTACATAGATTCTAAAAAATGATCTAATTTGTCAGTGTATCTCAGCAATTTTGAGTGTGTAGTAATGTAGTAGGTTGTGTCAGAGTTCTTTCCAACAATACGTCCTTGGTTTCTTTTCATCTCCTCTCTGGACTTTTTTATTCAGGTTTGTAGAGCCATATTCATTAGTTTAGTTTCTTATCTGGTAACATAATTCTTGCTGTTGGTTTCTGCATTATCCTCTAAATGACAGTAAATATCCTCTTTGCTGTGCTGATGGAGGATTACATCTGTTGGATGTCACAACCAGAAGAATACATTTCTTTTAGATCTTCACCTTCTAAATCTGCCTCTACATTCTCTCTCTTCCTCTTAATTAAATTATTGTTTAATTTGGTTTTCCATTTAATTTCAGCAAAACCTCTGGAACAAAAAAATTAAATTAATAACTGCACAGCTTCCACCCCCTAATAAGCAGTTACTATTGGACATTCCAGCCTGGCTGGAGTGAGCTTATTTTAATTAAACAAGTCAAAGACAAAATCCTGAAGAGACAGAAAATAAGAGACCAAGTAAAGTCCAACAATACAGCTGGAGAGTTAAAAAGTACACTGCTCCAGCCCCTTGTAAAATATATGCCTGTTGATATCCACTGCCAGTTGCAATTAGCTGCTTGTCAATAGATAAGATCAAATTCTGAATTCGAAGTAATAGTAGGCCAGGATTCTTCTCACCCAATTGAGCTCAAAAGGGATTTAAACCACAATGGAGATGTAGAGGTGCTGCCCAGCCTGGGAGAGAATTGGGGCAGGACAAACCACACCTGTAGGGTGGGCAGGAGGGAGATGAGCACCCAGAACCAGCTGCAGTGCCTGGGCAGGGGTGGCTGAATCCTTCAGACACAATCTCAAAGCCTGTATTCTGAATCTTGCCACATTAAAAAAAAAAAAAAGCTCCATCATAAAAATGTGGTCCTGTCTGAATATTGTTTCATAACCACAGAAGGTATTATATTCAACAGAGAGCAGAACCAAGTCACATACAGAAGTTGTGAGAGTCTCAGTCTACAACCATGTCACAGCTAAGAGGCACAGCAACTTTTACAATGAATAACAAGTAATAAGAAGCCACCTCATTCACTAATTAAAAAAAACAACCCATAACAAAACAAAAAACCCAAGTGAATAGCAAAGGAGAGAAAAGGCAAAACAAAAGCCCCAAAGCTTTTATGTCAAAAAAGAGTGAAAATATTCATTGTATCCCTGTGTTCTCCATGCCTTCAATCCAACTGCTGTTCATAAACTTATTCCTCCAGAGGCAAAATACTTCTGATTGAAACAGCTTTCCAATCTAGGCATTGCCTGCTGAATTTCTCTGGGGGTAAAGAATGATCCTGATCTTCCTCCCTCTATTTCTTCCTCACCTATCCCTTTGTGATCCCAAAGGAGGACCAGCAATTACTGGGTCCTGGACATGCAGTCTTAGCCACGGCCACTTCCCCATCCAACAACAAACCTGAGCAGAAACCCAACACAAACTTGCAAATTTTTTTATTCCAAGGTATTGAGGCTTCTGCCTACAGATCACAAACAATGGTTTGTTCTTCAAGAACTGCCAAATTCACTTTGAAAGGCAAAAACACACAAGGAAGAAAGCACAGGGAAGCTTTACTAAGATTAAGACACTGTACTGAGCAAGAAACAACACACAGATGCGGCCAGACCTAGTAGTGAAATGACCTTCCCGGGAAGAAGAAAAGTGAAATAAAAACTAAAGCCCCACAGAAAATATATTAAAAATACAGAGAAGTATTTAACAGTCAATATAGAAAAAACCCACATTGGTTAAAGAAATAACTATTATTTCAGTTCAGACCCCTGAATTACAACCATACAAGGTGCACACAGACATCTGTACATGTGCATACAGGTGAGCCCGAGGAAAGGTACAAATACTACTAAAAAGAAGTGAGAGAGAACACAACCTGCTCATGTTCTTGCAGATCTTCTCTACAGTCAGATAGAAGCTCAGCCTGTGTGTTCCAGAGGAGCAGTGGAGACTGCCAGCCACGCTGCAAACCCAAATCCCACAGGCTCACAGCTCATGGTGAAGCCAGAGATATGGCTGGAAACCCACTTCTTCCCCTCAGTTACATGAGGATGAAAAAGCATAGATTCTACTCTGCAACCTTAAGGAAAACCATCAATTAAGAATTTGATTATGCAAATAGTAATTGGTTCTGGAGTTAGCATTAATACTCATGATACCACATGCATGAGTTGAATTCATTACTTCTCAAAGCAGTGCTAATATTTCCAGCTCTGAGGAGTCAATTGCAAACAGCAAATGATAAGCCAGGAATAAAGGCATTAAAACCAGAACCACAACTAGAACAACTGCCACTATCAAACACATCCTCTGAAGCACAGGATTTGTGATACCATATTCCTTGAGTGTTGAGATTTAGATAGATGTTATGGCGCTGACCACAAAAATCACTGCACACTCACTGCCAAGGTGAGACACTGGTCTTCCTGGTCTCCAGAACTTCTCTCAGAGCACCACCCAGCAGTCCTCTCACAATACCCACCAACACAAATGTCCTAGATGTTCCGCAGTTATGGTTGTCCGGCTCTAGCCTTGCACACAACCCATCTCCAGCAACTCCTGGTTCAGGGGCTTCTGGATTAAACCATGTGTTGTAAGAGACATTAAAGGGGTTTCTCTCCCAGGAGCCAGTCCAGCGGCTGTTATTTTTTAGCATCCAGAATCCTGCAGCAAGGTTAATTACGGATATGACACTCTGTTTTGGAAATGCCCAGCAATAATTCCAGCCTGTGACAGTATACCAAGATTACTTCCAGTATCCTTCAGAAATTTTATCCTCTAAATGAGCAAAAGCATCTCCAAATTTCTATGTAAATGTGGCATAAGAAGGACACATTATGCAGTCAGGGCTCGTTTTTTTCTAAACAGTTGCATTTTTATCAATATAAATTTACTTGTATATATATATGTACGAGGCTCAAACATAGGCTTAGATGCTAATCTTTGGTGTATAAAACAAGGTCATGCTAAAGCATGTCAAAACTGACCTGCCTATGATGCTTAATATTTTAGCCCCTGGAGAAGAAGATTTACTTTTCCCCATGCACAGTTTAATTACCTCCTCTACTTAACCTGCTGTAGAACATTTTAGACCCACAATCAAAATACAATAGCTCAACTGCACATTCCTAATTCTTTATTTTGCTTCAATTTTTTATTTTGCTCTCAGTTCAGTCCTATTTTGATTTGCAATTGCTTTCCAAACTTAAAAGCAAGTGACACTTTCAAGCTATTATTTCATTTTTTCATCTGTAAAATCTTTTCCTCACATATATACACGAGTACTCAAGATCATAATGGTAGGTATGAAGAGGTTTAGTTTTTCTTGTTTTGCAGGCATACAAAAAGCCTTCTGTAGAAATCACAATTACAGCCTCTATTGTTCTGAAGCATACACTTAAAAGAAACACAAGATAGGCACTGGTTTAATTGCTACTACAGATATTCCTGACGTAAATGGATTTCTGTGGAGTTCAGCTCCAGATTGGTATAAAAAAAAATAATAATCTTATTTACTTTAACTTTATACAAAGAAATTTTAAAAAACTAAGACAAAGTAAAGTTTTGAGTGGATAACAGATGCAAAATCACAATGCTTTAAGTGCCAACCAGCAACATACCAAGGAGTCTTCCATCTCCATCTCACTAAAACAATGCATTCCTCACATATGGTGCTACTTATTTTTAACAGCATAATTTCAGTGCAATACCCAAGTGACAAGAACAATCAAGCTTGATTTCTTTGTGCAATTATAAAGAACCTTAGAGTGTTCAATCAATCACACTAGTTGATTCTCCAAATCCCAATTAAATGGAAGGAGACATCATTGGATTAAACAATAATGGCTTGTCCCAGTGTTTTGGTGAAGGGAGAACAAATTTAATTTTTTCTGATTTACGTTTTCTGAACTGAATTATTTAACAATTAGCTGGTGCCTTATTATGAATCAAAAATACTTAATGA